ATAGCTATTATGTTACCTCTGTATTGGATGAGTGTCCCTTATAAAGGCTCGTTGTTGATGATACTGTTGAAACGTGCATTGTAGATAGCTGTTATGTTACCTCTGTATTGGATGAGTGTCCCTTATAAAGGCTCGTTGTTGTTTATACTGTTGAAACGTGTATTGTAGATAGCTGTTATGTTACCTCTGTATTGGATGAGTGTCCCTTATAAAGGCTCGTTGTTGTTTATACTGTTGAAACGTGCATTGTAGATAGCTGTTATGTTACCTCTGTATTGGATGAGTGTCCCTTATAAAGGCTCGTTGTTGTTTATACTGTTGAAACGTGTATTGTAGATAGCTGTTATGTTACCTCTGTATGGGATAAGTGTCCCTTATAAAGGCTCGTTGTTGTTTATACTGTTGAAACGTGCATTGTAGATAGCTGTTATGTTACCTCTGTGTATTGGATGAGTGTCCCTTATAAAGGCTCGTTGTTGTTGATACTGTTGAAACGTGCATTGTAGATAGCTGTTATGTTACCTCTGTATGGGATGAGTGTCCCTTATAAAGGCTCGTTGTTGTTGATACTGTTCAAACGTGCATTGTAGATAGCTGTTATGTTACCTCTGTATGGGATGAGTGTCCCTTATAAAGGCTCGTTGTTGTTGATACTGTTCAAACGTGTATTGTAGATAGCTGTTATGTTTACCTCTATATGGGATGAGTGTCCCTTATAAAGGCTCGTTGTTGTTGATACTGTTCAAACGTGTATTGTAGATAGCTGTTATGTTACCTCTGTATTGGATGAGTGTCCCTTATAAAGGCTCGTTGTTGTTGATACTGTTCAAACGTGTATTGTAGATAGCTGTTATGTTACCTCTGTATTGGATGAGTGTCCCTTATAAAGGCTCGTTGTTGTTTATACTGTTGAAACGTGTATTGTAAATAGCTGTTATGTTACCTCTGTATGGGATGAGTGTCCCTTATAAAGGCTCGTTGTTGTTGATACTGTTGAAACGTGCATTGTAGATAGCTGTTATGTTACCTCTGTATGGGATGAGTGTCCCTTATAAAGGCTCGTTGTTGTTTATACTGTTGAAACGTGTATTGTAGATAGCTGTTATGTTACCTCTGTATTGGATGAGTGTCCCTCTAAAGGATCGTTGTTGTTGATACTGTTGAAACGTGTATTGTAGATAGCTGTTATGTTACCTCTGTATTGGATGAGTGTCCCTTATAAAGGCTCGTTGTTGTTGATACTGTTCAAACGGGTATTGTAGATAGCTGTTATGTTACCTCTGTATTGGATGAGTGTCCCTTATAAAGGCTCGTTGTTGTTGATACTGTTGAAACGTGTATTGTAGATAGCTGTTATGTTACCTCTGTATTGGATGAGTGTCCCTTATAAAGGCTTGTTGTTGTTGATACTGTTCAAACGTGTATTGTAGATAGCTGTTATGTTACCTCTGTATTGGATGAGTGTCCCTTATAAAGGCTCGTTGTTGTTGATACTGTTGAAACGTGTATTGTAGATAGCTGTTATGTTACCTCTGTATTGGATGAGTGTCCCTTATAAAGGCTCGTTGTTGTTGATACTGTTCAAACGTGTATTGTAGATAGCTGTTATGTTTACCTCTATATTGGATGAGTGTCCCTTATAAAGGCTCGTTGTTGTTGATACTGTTCAAACGTGCATTGTAGATGGCTGTTATGTTACCTCTGTATGGGACGAGTGTCCCTTATAAAGGCTCGTTGTTGTTGATACTGTTGAAACGCGTATTGTAGATAGCTGTTATGTTACCTCTGTATGGGATGAGTGTCCCTTATAAAGGCTCGTTGTTGTTGATACTGTTCAAACGTGTATTGTAGATAGCTGTTATGTTACCTCTGTATTGGATGAGTGTCCCTTATAAAGGCTCGTTGTTGTTGATACTGTTCAAACGTGCATTGTATATAGCTGTTATGTTACCTCTGTGTATTGGATGAGTGTCCCTTATAAAGGCTCTTTGTTGTTGATACTGTTGAAACGTGTATTGTAGATAGCTGTTATGTTACCTCTGTATTGGATGAGTGTCCCTTATAAAGGCTCGTTGTTGTTGATACTGTTGAAACGTGTATTGTAGATAGCTGTTATGTTACCTCTGTATTGGATGAGTGTCCCTTATAAAGGCTCGTTGTTGTTGATACTGTTGAAACGTGCATTGTAGATAGCTGTTATGTTACCTCTGTATTGGATGAGTGTCCCTTATAAAGGCACGTTGTTGTTGATACTGTTGAAACGTGCATTGTAGATAGCTGTTATGTTACCTCTATATTGGATGAGTGTCCCTTATAAAGGCTCGTTGTTGTTGATACTGTTGAAACGTGCATTGTAGATAGCTGTTATGTTACCTCTATATTGGATGAGTGTCCCTTATAAAGGCTCGTTGTTGTTTATACTGTTGAAACCTGCATTGTAGATAGCTGTTATGTTACCTCTGTATGGGATGAGTGTCCCATATAAAGGCTCGTTGTTGTTTATACTGTTGAAACGTGTATTGTAGATAGCTGTTATGTTACCTCTGTATTGGATGAGTGTCCCTTATAAAGGCTCGTTGTTGTTTAAACTGTTGAAACGTGCATTGTAGATAGCTGTTATGTTACCTCTGTATTGGACGAGTATCCTTTATAAAGGCTCGTTGTTGTTGATACTGTTGAAACGTGCATTGTAGATAGCTGTTATGTTACCTCTGTATGGGATGAGTGTCCCTTATAAAGGCTCGTTGTTGTTGATACTGTTGAAACGTGCATTGTAGATAGCTGTTATGTTACCTCTGTATGGGATGAGTGTCCCTTATAAAGGTTCGTTGTTGTTGATACTGTTGAAACGTGTATTGTAGATAGCTGTTATGTTACCTCTGTATTGGATGAGTGTCCCTTATAAAGGCTCGTTGTTGTTGATACTGTCGAAACGTGTATTGTAGATAGCTGTTATGTTACCTCTGTGTATTGGATGAGTGTCCCTTATAAAGGCTCGTTGTTGTTGATACTGTTGAAACGTGTATTGTAGATAGCTGTTATGTTACCTCTGTATTGGATGAGTGTCCCTTATAAAGGCTCGTTGTTGTTTATACTGTTGAAACGTGTATTGTAGATAACTGTTATGTTACCTCTGTATGGGATGAGTGTCCCTTATAAAGGCTCGTTGTTGTTTATACTGTTGAAACGTGTATTGTAGATAGCTGTTATATTACCTCTGTATGGGATGAGTGTCCTTTATAAAGGCTTGCTGTTGTTGATACTGCGATATTGATGGGTAGATGTGTGTAGATTCTAAAATGATCAACTGAAAGGACAGACGATCTGTGTATGCAGGACGCCCATCATCGACACCGATCGTCTACAATCCAATATCAGTCGATGGGAGAAAGATCTGGATCCTGAAGTGGTGAAATCCTACGGGAATCGGCAGACATTGAGCATGTCACCGTGGCTGGCGAAATGGATACCGACTCTGTACAGTGACCGTGTGTGGGAGGTAGTGGACGTTATGGAACATTCATTACTGGCTCATTGGCCGCTTGAAGAATACGATGTCATCAGTTTCAGGGAATTCTACATGCTTTATCTCAGCGCTACCAATTCCCACTGGTTCTTGCGACAGATGCGCGGGTTGGGCGACATTCTAGGTTCCTCTTTTGCCTACTTCAAAGCCTGAATTCCTGCATTCTTCTATAGAAATCCACACTATAGTGTTATAACAACTGTTTCAAATCAAATTTTATAATTAGGTTACCTTTTGTTTGAAACATCTCTGTTCATTGAATATTTTTATACATTATTTTTATATAATAAACAAAAATGACACGCTTAAACATAAAAACATTGCTTTTTTTATTTGGAAAAAAAAGTAAAATAAAAAATAAACTCTCGATTTACCAAGTTTATATAGCACTAAAAACACACGACAAAATATATTGCAAACCACAAAAATTTCACAAATCTGTATATATATATTGAAAGAGGAATACTTTCAAGGTGAAAACATCAGGCTTTTATAGGGATAAGTTTCATTTTCAAGAATTTTTTTATTAATATCTCTAGCTTTTAGGTATTTGAAAGCCCTTCTAAAGAAGAAAATACACTTCTCCAATAGAAGTGCTCAAATAACTGAAAGCTGAAGATATGTAAATTATTTTTTTATCTCTGAAATGTAAAAAAATTATACAAATTCTGGAATAATAAAAAAATCAACGAATAGTTGATATTTATTCCGATAGATGGCGCAAGCCATCAGTTGCACGATAAGGAGATGCCTTTTTTATTTCTTAATATCCCTGGAAGCCTGGTATTTTTATCTTAATACTGGTACAAGGGATTATTACCAAGGTTGTGCCAAAAGTTCCTAAACATATTATGATTTATATTTTACAAGTGTTTACGAACTTTTGGGACAACTTGTAATTCTGAAACTTGGCTCACCTGCTGATTGTCACCCTTGATATAGAACATCAGAGATTAAATCATTCTTCTATAAGAATTCTGTTATAATTTTACCAAGGTTGCCAATATTACCAAGGTTGTCCCAAAAGTTCGCAAAAATATTATGATTTATATTTTGCAAGTGTTTATGAACTTTTAAGACAACCTTGTAATTCTGAAACTTGACCCACCTGCTGATTGACCATCCTTGAAATAGAACATCAGAGATTAAATCATTCTTCTATAAGAATTCTGTTATAATTTTACCAAGGTTACCAATATTACCAAGGTTGTCCTTAAAAGTTCGTAAACACTTGCAAAAATATAAATCATAATCATAATATTTGAAACTTATATAGACGCGTATGATTCTTTTAAAATTAAATTAATTGTTCCATTGCAGTAAGGACAGTAGAAATTGTTTAATTTTTTAAAGAATCATACGCGTCTATAATAGTTTCGAATTTTGATAACAGATGGCGCGCTAATGTATCATAATGTAATCATAATATTATGTATGTATTACTTTATGTATTATTTACGAACGGAAAAATATGTCCAGGGTAGCCTAGTGGACATGGCATCTGCCCGGTAAGCGTAACAGTGTGGGTTCGATTCCCATCCCTGGACACTTTTATTTTTTCGTTTATCATTACTCTTCACAATTCACCCTTTCATACCTCATCCCAAAGGTTAGAAATAATCGTTATTTCTCCTTTAAATAAATTTTGATTTATCGTTGAAAAGAAACACATGCAGAATGGTTTTAAAGTGTCGTTTTACAATCATAATATGTTTACAAATATTTTGGGAAAACTCTGTATATTGAATTGAGAAATGGTCACGGAAAAGAATGCCCTTGGAAAAAAAATTATCTGGTGGTAACATGTGAGCTGACATCTTTGAAATTTGTTTCATTCTTCTGGCAGGATTTCAAGAGACGCAATTCCTTTGAAGATGGTCAGTCCTGTTGATAGATCAACCTTTGTTGAATATACCCATTTAGAATTGATGGACCTACCATTTTTGGTAGGCAAAAATTGTCCCAAATTTATGGTTCTTATAAAGGATTCATTTCACTTTAGCATGAAGTCTTTCAACCTTTTCTTTAATAAAGGATATGAAAATTCGAAACTATTATAGATGCGTATGATTCTTTTTAAAAATAAACAATTTCTACTGTCCTTACTGCAATGGAAAAATTAATGGGAGGGCCTGACTCATTAGTGGTGAACCCTCCCAACGGTTTCGCCAGTTTAATCTACCATACCGCTGTTATACCACTGATGAGCCAGGCCCTCCCATTAATTTTTCCATTGCAGTAAGGGCAGTAGAAATTATTTATTTTTAAAAAGAATCATACGCGTCTATAATAGTTTCTAATTTTCATAACAGATGGCGTGCTAATGCATCATAATAAAGGTTATAATAAAAGGATTGTTATATTAAAAAAATACAAATATTTTCTAACAATGAGTTTCTTTATATTTCAAATTACAAGCATACAAGCGATAATCACTCTTAAACGTGCTTAGTTGACTATTTATTACAAGATATATTTATTCAATTATTTCTCCATCGGACTAACTGCAGAAACTTCTTGTAAAATAGTCTTTTATACTTCTCTATATATTATATAAATTTCTATTGAAAGCTTGCAATCTAAAATAACAAGAAAGTCATTGTGAGATAATATTTGTAGATTATAAAAGCTTTTCACAATTTTATCTTTAATCACGAACATTATTGTTAGTTAAATATAAAAAAATAAATATAATATGAAGAAAGATTTTAAATATTTAGATTTTTATGTTCATTGACTTTTTAAACGAATCTTTCCGCAATAACTCTTAGAAAATGAAATTGTTCCAAAGTTTGTTAAGGTCGGATCATTGCTAGTTTCAAAGAAGAAAAACTCTTAGATTTTTGTGATAATCTTTAAAACACTAGGAATCTTACAACCATTATGTTATTCAGTAAACCAGTAGTCCTCATGCTTAAAGTCAGCGCTTTATTATACGTGGCACTAAACAGAAGGAATATAATGAGCGGGACTTGTCTTCAACCTCCCTGTCTGAAGAATCCTTGGCGCCGTGGATGTCATTCTTGTGAAACGTCCCGCTCCACACTATACACGCCCAGCTTGGACTACATCGGCTTGTAGGATCATCCACACGCCCGTCCACTTGTCGCAGATGTGACCAGACTCTGTCCTACCCCACACAGGAATGCTGTTTTTGGCGTCTACCACATGGCAGCGGGGGCAGCTGGAGTCCACTCCTCTTTCCCCAACTTTACTCTGGTATCTTGGCCTTGTCATCCACGTTACAATATTTTCGTTCACATCATAAAATTCTAGGTGTTACTACTAAAATACACTTTGTTGACCACCTGGATGACATTCTTAATAGCTTTAGGTAGTTCCTGGACCATTCAGAGCGGCCCTGAGGTAGTTCAGATTCATCTTTAGTGAAAAATAAATAACAAAGCGATTCTGCCAGCCATTTTCTACATCTGTGTTGGGGGTAAGGGGTGTTTGACTACAATGGCCACCGAAATCTATTCTTTATCCTTGAAAGCAATAGAAACCATCAAGAAACAATTCAATAAACAAAAGTATACAGCTACCATCACAATTCAGAAGGCTGTAAGGGCCAGCCTGACAACTCCCAACTCACCTATTCAGAAATTTATTCCATCCACAAACAAAAAATAACCTCTCTCTGGAAATCCACCCTAAACCACCTTTGGTACACCCCCATTCTTAACGAATTTTCTTTCCACACCCTTACTAGGGAAGAACAAACGGCAATTTCAAGATTACGAACAGGACATCTTAGAATGCTCGAATTTAATGGAATTATCAAAACATTCCCGAAATGCCCCAAATGCGATTCCCAACCAGCCATTCCTGAACATCTATTAAATTGTATCAAATCCTCCAAAAAGACCCCTGGAAAAACTCCAGGACTTTCTATCTTAATATATATATTTTTTAATATATATTGTCACGATTAAGTAAAATTAATCATTCCTCCAGGGAAAGGTGTTTTTTCAAAACATTTTTATTCTCTAGATTTCGGGCACGGACACCCTTCTACGCCCAGGTTTTCTCCTGTAGAAGGACGTCCCTACCCGAAAGCTAGAAAATAAAAATGTTTTGAAAAAACACTTTTCCCTGGAGGAATGATTAATTTTACTCAATATTGATGTAAAGGATTATTTTATAGAATATTGTCGCAAGTTATCAGTGAAAAAAAAACTTATCATCATCACACACACACAAATAAACAGAATAAAAAAAAAACGATAAAAAACATCAAAAAAACAAAAGGAACGGAGGATTTTTTTGTTCTTTTAAAAAATATAGGTATTTATTTGTTAAAATAATAATAATCTTGTGTTAATAAGCTGTATTTAAATAAATAAAAAAATGCCGATTAAGTTGAGTAAGTAAGTTTTAATATTTTAAATACATAAGACAATGGTAATTTTGGTAAAATAATACAATGCAAATATTAAATACATGACAATATATTTGAATATTCATATATATATATATATATATATATATATGTTATGATTATAATGTTTTGATGTTGGAATGATAAATAATTTTGAGGTGCAGTCGTGAAAATAGGAAATATAATTATTTACTTATATCAAGTAGTTTTTATTTTCAATTACTTGGAAAGAATTACACATTAAATATTTTTCACACTAATATATAATTTATAAAATGAATTCTATATTCGTGAATTAAAAAAAAAATAGGTAGATTAACTATACATATTTACAACAAATATTCAAAGTGTTATGTCCTAAATCTATGGTCAAAAATAAAATAATAGTCAATGATGAAAATAAAATACATGTTTTTAAAAAATAAAATATTTGCATTTTAGATTATATAATATATATATATATATTAAAAAGATGCTTATATTGGATTTATAAGTATTTTATTGTTCCAATATTTCGAGAGGCAACTCGCCTCTCTTTATTGAGGATGTTTGTGTTTTTTACTAAAACATATGAGCACGCGTACACCACTCTCGTTCTATAAGGCCAATGAAAAAAGAATTGTATCTTTGATTTGAATATTACATTCATATCTATAACAATAAACAATAGACTGATTATAATCAGTCTATTTCTCTCTATTCACTAAGTTCATCCACCTTTTCATAGTTAATTCTTCAATATTCTCAATTATGTAAATTCTTATGTCATATATTTACATACAATCTCTTTCCATCACTTTGTTTATACGTTTTAGTTAGCTGAAGAAGGGATTACGTCGGAAAGCTTCTTTAATCAAGTTAAAAAAATCAAAACATTCCCGAAATGCCCCAAATGCGATTCCCAGCCTGCCAGTCCTGAACATCTATTGAATTATCGTAAAGATAGAGGTTGCCTGGCCGGCATTCATATTTCTTCAAATAAAAGACACTTCGGCCAGTAAATCTTTTTATTTTTGTTCGCTCCTGAAGAGGACAAAATATTTTTGTCGAAACGTCGAGACAATAAAATTTATTTGAAGAAATCAATTGAATTGTATCAAATCCTCTAAAAAAGACTTCTGGGAAAACTCCAGGACTATAATAGAAAAGCTGAGACAATGGAACCTAATGGAAATCGTTTAAACGACTTGAGGAATAAACAACAACAAACAAAAATAGCTACAAAGTCTTATGGCTTTTGTGTAATTTGTCGAAATCTAAAAACCTATGATTATGAATATTCTTTATATACTATTTTCTTTTTGCTTATCTCTAGTACATGTAGTACAGGCCATGATAATCATGGTGGGTAGAAGTTGGCGACTGCTTTTACTGTAAGTGCACCACATATTTACACATGTCAAAAGCAGTTCGAGTTTGCACTTACAAATGTGCCAGAGCCTTGGTTTGGTTACTTGCACTCGCTGGTGGAGTTGGAATTTTGCAAGAATCGGGGGCCATTGGAACATTTTTTTTTAATCAGAAAAAAGTGCCCAATGCGGGAATCGAACCCGGGTCCTAGCGGTCGAAAACCAATGGTTTAGACCAGGGGTCAGCAAACTGTGGCTCGCAAGCCACATGTGGCTCTATGGATGTGAAGCTGCGGCTCTTTATATAGTTCCATACGTAAATATTATTTATACGAGTTCTATTTATTGTTGGCAAAAAAAAAAAAAACATTAGTGGCTCTTTAAAAACTTTAAAAATTTGTAAATTGTAATTTTTGACTCTTCCAACTCAAAAGTCTGTCGAGCCCTGGTTATACCATCCTTCCAGCGACCCTCATTTTTTTCTGCTATGAATGTACCAAATCTTTGATTAAAAGAGGTCCTACTATCCCAAAGATATCCATTCCTATTCATCACTGCAAATCAAATTCCACCACTGTATACCTTCTTCCAAGCGGATGATTGGCCTGATCATATCGCAACAAGTTTTATTATCACTTCGGAGGGCCGGTAGAAGGATGGTCTAAACCGTTGGTTTTCGACCGCTACGACCTGGGTTTGATTCCCGCATTGGGCATTTTTTCTGATTAAAAAAATTCTCCAATAGCCCCCGATTCTTGAAAAAGTTCAACCCCATCAACGAGTGCAAGTAACCAAACAGGGCTCTGGCACATTTGTAAGTGCAAAATCGAACTGCTTTTCACATGTGTAGACATGTGGTGCACTTAGAGTAAAAGCAGTCGCCTACTTCTACCCACCATGATTATGATGGCCTGTACCACGTGTACTAGGGATAAGCAAAATAAAATTAGCACTTCAGATTGTCAGGCTATCTACAAGCTAGCTATCCTCAAAACCTTACTTACTGCAGAGCTGGTTAAAGAGCCTTGTTGCGGCTCCCAAATATTAACTTTTCATATTTTCATCAAGTTTTAATTTGTTTAATAACTATTTAAATCAAATATTAAATTAAAATATTCATCTTATAAATATATAATGCTTATAAATATACTTTAATAAAATTATATAAATTAACATTAATATTACATTATTTGTAGTCTGACTCCGCTTAGAATTTCATACCAACCAACAACAGCCTTCATACTTTGGACAATGCTCAATTCATATGTGCAAATGGTATATGACATGATAAATATGAATTGAACTTAGAGAACCCAGTAAACTCCAATGAGAGACACCACCGCCTCACGGACAAGATTCCAGGAATACAATGTCCTGAGACTACATGTCAGAATGTACACTCATGGACAAAACTTAAGGATGTGGAAAGTCTTTGATGTCATCGGGATCTGTTATTTTTTTAAGGAGACAGAGACAATTTTGTTCATACTTGTTTATCTGGTGTGTCTTCAATAAAGGTCGCTGTATTATCTTTCAGAGTTATTGTCTGAATCCAGATATACATGCTAAAAGGTACAACTTCCTTAAGTTTTGTCCATGAGTGTATCTTTCAGAGTTATTGTCTGAATCCCGATATACATGCTAAAAGGTACAACTTCCTTAATTTTTGTCTATGAGTGTATGTTTCAGAGTTATTGTATGAATCCCGATATACATGATAAAAGGTACAACTTCCTTAAGTTTTGTCCATGAATGTATCTTTCAGAGTTATTGTCTGTATCCCGATATACAGTGTACTCCGCTTATAACAAAGTCGGTTATAGCGAAATTCCGCATATAGCGAATGAAATTGTCTGCACGAAAGAAAAGAAGGGCTTAAACCATTAAAAGAACTCTGGATATTGCGAAGTCGGATATAAAGAATTTTCGCTTATAACGAAGTGATTTGCATGTATAAATTTTTATTTTATCCGTTTATAACGAAGTTTTCTCATTTACCATTATAATTGACTAATATATTATGCATAATATATATCAAATTACAACGTGTGAATGACACAAATTTAATGATACACAACAAATAAGTTAATAATATACAATTTTAAAATATGCAAACATATTATAAGTATTTTTTTTCATTATTTAAACAAAATTAAATTGTTTAATAAACGCTTATATTTTATTAACGTTTACCATGGCAGGAGAACGAAAACAAACAAGAAACTCACTATCTCTGTCAGTCAAGCTGCAAATCCTAAGAGAGATTGAAGTGGAGAAGAAGAAAAAGACAGATGTTGCCCAGAAACATAATATCCCACAGTCGTCGCTTAGCACCATAATAAAGAACTCAGAGAAGATCCACCAACAAGCTCTGCATGCGGGAGAAAACAGTCGGAAACGAGCACGTGGATCTACATATGCTGATGTTGATGAGGCTCTGCTGCAGTGGTTCAAGCAGGCAAGAAGTGCAGCGCTTCCAGTTAATGGTCCATTGCTTTCCGAAAAGGCGAAGACCCTGGCTCTTGAATTTGGATTAAAGGATTTTACTGGGAGTGGTGGATGGATCGAGTGTTGGAAGGCAAGGCATGGTATCAAGCTGCGCAACATTTGTGGAGAATCAGCTGATGTCAATCGTGAGACAATGACGAACTGGTTGACCGATGTAATGCCTAATATAATTAGTAACTATGCTTGCAAAGACATCTTCAACGCCGATGAAACCGGTCTCTTCTGGCGTCTTCTTCCTGACAAGACACTTCACTTTAAGGGAGAAACTTGCACCGGCGGAAAGGCTAGTAAGGAACGGATCACAATCCTTCTATGCTGCAATATGGATGGTTCTGAAAAGATGCAACCTTTGGTCATTGGAAAGGCGAAACAGCCGAGATGCTTCCGAGGAATCAAGCACCTTCCTGTTCAGTACGAAGCAAATCAGAAGGCCTGGATGACTGGACTACTCTTCGAATCCTGGGTTCGGCACATCGACAAGAAGATGGCTGGACAACATCGACAAATTATCCTCCTGCTTGACAATTGCGGCGCTCATCCCCCAGACATGCAGGGCCTCACAAATACTCGTATAGCATTCTTGCCGCCAAATACCACTTCAATGCTGCAACCATGCGACCAAGGCATTATTCGCAATTTCAAGATGATTTATCGAACGCGTTTAATGAGGAAATATTTGACGGCATACGATGCTGGAACAGCATTAACAATCAATCTTAAGCAAGCTGTGGATATTATATCTGTAGCATGGAATGATGTGCTTCCAGCGACAATTTCCAACTGTTGGCATCATAGTGGAATTATTAAGTCCGATGTCAGTTCTCCATTGGATACACCACAGCCTGCAACACAAATGTGGGAGCAACAAAGCCTCTTCGATCGCATGAAAGAACTTTTAAAAATACCGTTAGAGATGGATTTCGATTCTTATGCTGACGCTGAAAATGACGTCGTTACAAATGCCATGTTATCCGATGTAGAAATTGTCGAGAGCATTCTTCAAGCAAAAGAAGAAGAAGAAACGGACCAAGTTGATGAAGAAGTAGACCCAATTGTCCACATTCCGCATCCAAAAGAGGTCTTGGAGAGCATTCAAACTCTGCGATTGTTTCTTCAATGTCAGGATGAGTCCAAGTCTCTTCATAGGCATCTGTCAGACTTGGACAACATCGAAAAGAGTGTTCAGCACTTGTTACTGACTTCTAAATGTCAAAAGAAAATCACAAACTACTTCTCCAAAAACACCTGATGAGTTTGTTATTGATCTTTGTGTTGCTCTTTTGAGTTGAATAGTAAATAAAATTATTGGTACAAAACATTTTTTTTTTCCAACTGCGGATATAACAAACTTCGGATATAACAAAGTGATTGTCATGGATAATGCGACTTCGTTATAAGCGGAGTACACTGTACATGCTAAAAGGTACAACTTTTTTAAGTTTTGTCCATGAGTGTATCTTTCAGAGTTATTGTCTGAATCCAGATATAAATGCTAATAAGGTACAAATTCCTTAAGTTTTGTCCATGAGTGTAGATATAGCTTTAATATAGTTTTGTTTGAATCAATTATATATGTGAAATTTCTTTAAAACGGTACAAACAAAACACAATATTCATCTTATTAACTCTTTTACTGATAAGAAATTATCATCACGGTGACGTACACCCAGAATATCAGTTCGACTTACATGTTCACTTGTAAACATATACACCTGATTAGTCGCAAGAGTAGCGCAAGAATAGAGCCGGTGGGAAAGAGTGGATTGACATTCTATATACGAAGACTGCCTCAATATATGATGTACTTAGTGTCAAAGAAGACGCTACACGCTACGTATGATGTTTACTCGAGTGTTGTTTTTGTTGTTGTCGTGTCCAATGCTCTTCATTGGAAAATGGGTGCCGTTGCCACGTTAGTCACCTTGAAAATGAACCAGAATTTGGTAAAATATTCCAAGGGTCCAGGAGGGCCCGCGGGGAGGTGTTTACTCGGGTGACGGAAGTGGTCTGGCTGCCGTCAGCTCTCAGAGGCAGCACAGCTATCGGGGAATGATGGATAACGTAAACCTTGTTATCAGCTCGGCTTCTAATTCCGTCTTCCCTGCTCGCCCAGACTCTGCCTCACTAATTGGACGGCCATTCTGCCACAGCTTCTATAAGATTCCCAGCTCTAGAATCAATCTCAATTCTCAATCATTGAAATTCAGCCATAAGGACTCTTGAAGATAGAGCTTGCCTCTAGCCTGCATTCATATTTATTAAATAATTCAATGCCTTGCCAAATGCTTTATTTTTATTTCTCCTGACGAGGACAAAATATTTTTGTTGAAACGCTGAGAAAATAAAACTTTTTTTTCTGGCCGAAGTGTCTATTATTTAAGAAGAACTTAATGAATTTGAAAGTCTTTTATGTCGTCTGTTTTTTTTTTTTTTTGAAGGATATGGAAGCTATTTTGTTTCCATTTGGTTATCTCATGGTCTTCAATAAAGGTTACTGTAATATCTTTCAGAGTTATTGTCTGCCTATATAGCATCGATGAATGTTTCCATTCGATCGACAAAGAGGTCTGACCGTAGCAGCTTGCCGATGTAGGGAAGTCTTGTAGGAGCTGGGTCTCCAACTTGGATCAGGACGGTACGGTGGTCCGAGTAGGCATAGTCGATAGTTTGGTATTGGGTGACGCGGTCGAAGAAGCCTGATGGAAGTAGGATTCTGTCTATATTCCGAAAATGGTGAGTCTGGTGTGCT